AAAAAAAAGAGCTTCAGAAGCATAAAAAATGTGGGACATAATGAGGATGAGAGTTTGAAGATGTCAGACCAGTAAAGCCCTGGTTCAGTTTTGCACACACACACACACACACACACACACACACACACACACACACACACACACACACACACACACACACACACGCACAGCAAGGTTAAAAGCGAACTATTTTTCCTCCAAACATTTAACTGTAAAACTTGCCTCTGACAAGTAAAACTTGTTTTTAAGATTTTCACTTTGGTTTTTAGTAGTTTTGTCCTAAATACACAGGCTGATAGTTTCTCATAAACATCTCAGTCAAGAGATTCTAATGAAATATAAATTTTCTACAACCAGTGGAGTTTTGTCTACTTGTAAGAGCCAACGACATACACTAACGAGCTCAAATATGGCAGTCAACTTAAAAGCATGTCTGCAATTTTAAACTATGGATTCTTTAGCAGATTTTGAAAAAAGATCTCAGGTCTGAAGAGGGGCTTGTTTATCTCTCTGTCCCTAAGTCACATCACTTCCTGGTAGGTGTCAACCTCTATTGCATTGTTGATCATTATCATTATAATTTCCTCTCAGTATAAATATTTTATTAATTAAAAAAAAGAATGAATTAACTAAGAATAAATAAATTGCAAAACCGATGAATGAAAATATTAATCAAACTTGTTTATGCCTATGATGCAATTAAGTCGGAACCACTTAAAATATAGGGGGGAAGCATTGGCTACGGAAGGAGAAGCTTAATTGAAGCTTAATTAAGTTCTTAATGCCTCTTCTCTCCTTCTTGTGGGGGTCATAGTGAATATTTTTGTCTGTTGAGGTTTTCATTTTGTGCAAACTAGTTAAACCTAAGCAATGAGTTCATCAGTGATAGGAATCACTAAAAGTGCATTAATTTCTTCCAAAAATTATAATTGTTTTATTCTAAAAAATGTCCACCACTCCATTCTTTTTCTTTTTCCCTCCCTGAAACACATATACACAGCCTTCATTGTGTGTCTATGTGTTTCAGGGAGGCAAAAGAAAAGGAATAAAAGAATAAGAATAGAAATTAGAACTGGATGGATAAAAATGTGAGCAACTAAGCAAAAATTTTCATTGTCGAATACAGAATATAAACTTCAATTTTACGTAATATTAATTTTGTACATAATGATCTGTTAAAAGCAACCTGAAGCCAGTTATTTAAATATAAAATACAGAGGCATAGGCTACTTTAAATGTGTTCAGATCACAAGTCTTCTGTAAATTAAGAGTGATTGGCAAGTCTCCACTTTATTGCAAATAAAAAATATGATTATCATTTGAGACAGCTGGCCAAAATAAAACCAAGGCATATACATTTTAAAATTCTGTTTTGTACAATAACCTGTTCAAAACAGAGGCAGAACAACTCATAATGAAGGTAACAACTACCCTGTTTAGCACCAAACCACCTCCTGCCAACCTCACACCACAGGAAATGAAAGTCTGTCTGTCTGTCTGTCTGTCTGTCCGTCCGTCTGTCTGTCTGTCTGTCTGTCTGTCTGTCTGTCTGTCTGTCTGTCTGTCTGTCTGTCTGTCTGTCTATCTATCTATCTATCTATCTATCTATCTATCTATCTATCTATCTATCTATCTATCTATCTATTGTTAAAGAAAAATGATTATTTTTAGTCTTTAATACAGTTAATCTTATGAACACTCTCATTTTGAACATATTTCTTAATTTTGAACAAGGTTGTGTTTATGATTTAAAACTAAGCTATTCAGGGGTAAGTATTCAAAGCACAGGAGGCCATAAAATGAGTATCTCCTGGGGGAGTGAATACCAGTTGAGCCTCAGGGGAGAGGTCTGCTTGGTTTACAGAAGGTCAAAAGTCTTCCAGAATAAACATCTAAGATGGTGTGAATTCTAGATGCCAGGACAATCTTTCCGCTTTTTCTTGTTAAAACAAAGAAGCAAATGACCCCAGATGTTTGCAGTAAATTAGGTGAAGCTCTAGGCAGTGTCAGAGATGGCT